ATCAGAATTTTACTATGTAGACAATCAACTTAGAAATGGGTTGCCTATATAAATTTATATAGGCAACCCATTTCTAAAGTGTTTATATAGTATTAAAATTGCATAAAATTTGAAAAATATCAGGATCTAGTGATTGGATTTTGGCTCATTTTAATCATCTTATTAAGACAAACATTTTGGTAGCTAAATTGTTTTAAATAAATCAATAGATAAAAAGTTATTAACAATTCCATAAATCAGCCCATATGGTAATAAATTATATTATAACCTCAGTTTCAACATAATCAGCTCTTGAATCACTAAATTGGTCATTTTTATTTGGACCACCCACAATTGCACCATATAAAACATGTTGGGTTTGAGGCGGATTATTCAAATTGGATACATCAGTTCCACCATGCGCACCAGCATGATGAGGATTCTGCGGTGAGTTTGGATGAACACCGACGACATACGGTGTGTTAATAGGGTTTTTACCAAGAATGTAATCAATTTGCGATAAGGCAAATTTCATATATCTTTTAGTCTTATCAGGTGAAGTAGCAAATGGTGCGTAAACTAGACACAAAAGAGCTGCACCGAGAGATGGGTTTAAGGGTGCAGCATTGCTGTCACCGTCACACCATAAAAGGCCACCATTGGTTAATGAACAACTACCAGATTGTCTTACAACGTTATCCAAGTATCGTTCCGCCTCAGATTTCCACATACTTGCATCCTTACCAGATTGCTGAAATAATTGTGCAAATAACACATAACACGCGCCAGATTTTTCATCCCAATTAAATACTTTTTGCAAACCGCTCAGTGAATTAGTGTTAAAATAGTTAACAGCTTTATCAAGATAGCTCGTGTCATTTGTCGCACGATATAACCAAAGAGCACCCCAGACCAATTCGTCAGCATAATTGGATGAATTATATGCAACTTTTACTTGTGGTGCTGAATTTTGATATACAGTGAAAGGTGTTGTTTCGGCGAAAGAGTATAAATTTTTCGCGTATGTTAAAAGTGTATTGGCGTACGCGGAATCATTAAATTGATTAAGAAACACTAAAGATGATGCAGCCATCGCTGCCGCCGTTTCTCCTGAAACATCAGTACCATGAGCAGACGAGCTAACGTTTATCGATGGACGTGGAGTAGGAATACTATAGATAGTATAAATTATCGATTATCGAATGTTTTGATGATAAAAATTTGCGGTAATCGAATATATATTATAAAACAGTACTTTGTATCAGGTCCCCAATAGTTAAGATCTGAATCAAGGCTACCAATCATCACATATAGATATTGATTTCCTGTATTATTCGTATTCGAGCTGGCATTTATTAGCCAATCGGTGCCCCACTTTATCATATCTCTCAAATATTGGGTCTGATTTGCCAATCGATAACCATTACCCCATTCTAAAGCTCCCCAGGCAATCACTGTGATGGTCCATGATAACGGAAAAGTAAATTTTGCATAGTCACCTAATAAATAAAATATAATAAATAACATATCATATATAACATAAAACATTATAAAAACAAATTGATTAACAAATTACCTGCATCATAGTAACCCTTATAATTACATGGATAAGATGAAAAAAAATCAGTTTAATCATTAATTGATTACCTTCCATGAAATAGCGATCAAATCTATTAATTGTAAGGGAAAGTCTCCGGACACTTAAAATTCACGTGATTTTTGTACTTACCTGAGCCACGTGATCATACAATATTTTTTAAAAATTTTAAACGAAGATATCTCAACCACCTGATGAAATTCGATGAAATTCGATGAAATTTTTTTTATTATAATTCCTGATATTTGTAGAATCCAAATAAAAAAAATCCAGCGAATTTCATCAGATGGTTGTTGAGATATCTTCAATCGAATTTGGGTAAAGTTATCAAATTGTAAGCTATTTTAAGTTTTTTTTTGAAATTTTAAACAAAAGATATCTTAACAACCACCCGATGAAATTCGATGATAATTTTTTTGCCTTAATTTACACATTTGCATAATCCAAACAAAAAAAATTTTCAGCGAATTTCATCAGGTGGTTGTTGAGATATCTTCAATCAATTTGGGTCAATATTCAAAACGTCTAAAATTTGTTAGTTTTTTTTAATCTTTAAACGAAGGCATCTCGACAACCACCTGATGAAACTCGATGAAAACTTTTTTACCTGGGTTCTACGAATATGCATAATCATCGAATTTCATCGGGTGGTTGTCGTGATATCTTCGTTTAAGATTTCAAAAAAACTTAAAAGTAGCTTAGACGTTTTGAATATTGACCCAACTTTGATTGAAGATATCTCAACAACCACCTGATGAGATTCGCTGAAAATTTTTTTATTTGGATTTTGTGAATATGCAGAATAAAATTAAAAAACTTCATCGAATTTCATAAGGTAATTGTCGAGATATCTTCGTTTAAAATTCTAAAAATTTTGATGTACCAAATGCATAGTCACGTGATTTAGGTAAGTACAAAAATCACGTGAATGGTAAGTGTCCGGAGACTTTCCCTAATTGGAAACTAGTTGTCACATGCGATTGATTAATCACATGAAATTGATTAATATGATTGGCCAAAGTATTGACACATGATTTTTGGATTAATCTAATTGGTTTTCTTTAACTTTACTATGTAGATGATCATTCAACTATTAGTTGCTTATTACCATTTCAATTAATCGATTTGATCATGAAACATACATCTTAAAATTTAAGGATATGAACACTTATTGGAAGGCAATGTAATAATAAATTAGTGATATAAAAAATAAAACACACCCCACTTAAATCAAGTCCAACATCTTGACCGTCGCTTAGCGCTGAATCATACCTCCTGAAAAATTATATAATATAAATAATTTTCTAAACAGTTGATCGAATGTGTAATTTAAAGCAAGCTTACCACGATACCCTATTGTTTGCGGGTAATTTTCCACTTCTTTCCGCTTCGTAAAAATATAAAGAGTAAGCTAGTAGCCTCGCATATTCTGTGTTAGGATAAGAATTGTTACTTTGTTCCTGTGGTATTCCCTGGATATTAGGAGGTGGTAACGCATAATTTGTCTGTGCACGAGTTAACGAAGTTAAAAATTGCAAACTAGCGACAAAGAGGGTCAATAAAGTTCCTCTTTGACTGTCACGTGCAAGCAAGTACATGTAGAAAAAGGTTGAGTTTAAAAACGAGAACAGACATTCTGAAGCGTTTGAAATACATGACGGGAAAATTTTTACCTCACTAGACTCGGTTAACCAAGCCGATATATAATGTGTCAAAAATGTTGAAAACTCGAATTAGAAATTTTTGAAATTGATTTATTTAACTATTCTATATCTGTCTCATTTTATATTAAAATTGTGAAACTACCACGTGAATAGTATGTAATAAATCGGGCTACATCATACATACATGAGTGCTAACATATCGTTGGTGGAAATTGAGCTCTTAAGTGGAATATAAAAGGATATATTTTACACCTTATTTTATTCAATTAGATTTTTTAATAATCGAATTCAGAATACGTATGAATATGTACAATAATAATAACTATTATAAAAAAGCAACTCAAGCAAGGATAAAGTATAACTATAAACCAATATTGTACAGAATTTTTTTTTTTTCCTCTTTATAACTTTGTACATGAAATTTCACAATGTTTAAGGATGAAATTTTTATTCTAAAAACGACAAATTCGATTCTATTCTGTAATATTCTTACAAATCAATAATAACATTTTTTCCACATCTTTAAAATTTTTTTTTTGTCAGAGTAGACAAGTCTTGTGGAACATCCACAGTAATTAACAGTTGGACATCATTAGTATGATTTGCTGATGTAAATCAATAGCCCGGAACTTATTTATATACTTTAAAGTATGTTCTCTAACAAACAATAAAAATCTTAATCTTCATTTATTCACTGCCAAATATTCAAAATTCACTATAACGGAGATTTAGTCGATTTTTTTTATAGTTATCAACTAGGATCACTACCATTAATTACTACTAACACCGAGCCATATGATCAATTGTTTCGTTTATTATTGCTTCTTCCATATCGTTTCGTTTCCTCATTCGTGCTTTTGTTAATTTCTTTTTTTCGGCAAGTTCTGAAAGGTGCTTGTTCTGAATTGTTTAAAAAAAAAAAATTAGTAAAATCAAGCATAATAAATACCAATAAAAATAAATTTACGAACCTTATTAGCTTTTGCCAATTCGATCTGCATGTTCTTACGGCTTTGCCAATTACGGTGTTTTTTACAGCGCGCCTTTTGAACTGTACAAATTTCTTCCCCCACATATTTTAAATCGTCTTTATCGATAACCCAATCGAGCCGAGGACTGTATCCACAGATTGGAGCATTGCGTATAGGCCCATCGCTCTCGGATTGTTTCTCAAATTCGCATGGAACATCCTGAGCTGACCCATCGCTATCAACTTGATCACTCTCACTCTGAACCTTTTCAGTGCTTCGCCCTGCCACATTGTTAAGTGTCTCAATTTCTTCCAATTCTTTTTTAATTTTAGCTTCTTTATTCGCTATCCTTTTCAACTTTTCACCATCTTCCAACTGACCCGTACGATTTGTAACATTTCGCTTTACCGGTCCTTTTTTATTGTCCTTGTTTTTTTTGTTTAGTAATGCTTTCATTTTAGCCGCCCTTTCTTCCTTTTCGAGAAGAATACGGCTGTAATCCATTCCACATTTGATTGAACAGAATTTCGATTTTATGAATCTAGCTGGTTTTTTGCAGGGTTGATATTTACATTTTTCTGCTTTCCACGATGTTTTGAACCCTTTAGCTAAATATATATATATGTATATACTTATTAATAAACCATTTTTGAAAGTATATTGACACAATGCAGGTATTTTATATATATGCTTACCTGTACAATTTGGACAATAAAATTTGTCCACCATTAATGATTCTTCGGATGATATTTTTACACAGGCGCCGTGGAACCATTCATCACAATTGTCACATTCAATCATAAATGATTGGCCATCAGATGACCTACAGATACAATAAAGCTGCTCTCCTGACTGCTCTGGTTCATCGATTGCCATTTTATCAACGGCTTTTGTATTTGTTGTAGGTCCCAGACTCGGTGAGGTGTTACCGCTACTATTATTGGAAGTTGTTCTTGATCGAAACTGCCTCTTGTT